AATCAATCTATATTCCATACTCATAATTTCCTTGTAACGTTTCAGGAGTCTCCGTTTGAACCTTGCGTTCATTTTGCCTGGTTGTTTAATTTTAGTTTGGTTTTATCATAATTATATGTTGATATTTTCTTGGTTATTTTTTAACCTTTTAATAAAACACATGCTAACTACGATGCTCACATTTCATCCCTTTAGTGCCCGTTTTGTCTGAAGTTTTGAGTTGTGTTACAAGGATATGTCTTTGTCAGATTTTTCATATGAGTGTTTTAGAGTTGATATTTTTATGTTTTTAGAGTATAGATATTACGGAGTCTTGTGAGATAAAGTGATATTTGTGATGTGACGGCATTTTAAAATTTTATTATTTTGATAGAAATTGTCGTGACAGTTTTCGGTTATTTTTCAGAAAAGAAACTTGTAGGTCCCAAACTAGACTTTTCAGATCATCAATAGTGAACGACGACAGTATGTTTTCTTTTTAGTATGTATTACATGAACAGACCCTAATGTAAAAATGCAAGACATTGTCTATGGAATATTCAAATGATTCATTCTCATTTGACAGCAATCGGTTTCAAGAACTAACATTATTAGCATCATGGCGAACGCAAATACAGGATTTTGTTTTTATTATAATCATCATTTGTAAGAGTCTTATGTTTCGTAACAAGAAATATCATATTTTATATAAACGAACGTTTGTCGCAGTGTCACACTCAGGACGTTGATATCACGTTTTAAACAAAGGAATCGAATTCAGAAAAAGTATACTAAGGAGATTATAAATCTAGCTTGTGATATAGATATTTGATATAAAGGAGATTTATTTATTTCATATATGCATTCAAATAGTATCATGGTTCATAATATACACATGTATTTCACGTTGTTAGCAAATCATCAGATTATGAAAAGTAAGCAATTCATTGAATTATAGGGCTAGTGCAGTTTCTCGTCTAGATTTTGACTTCTTTCGATCACTTTGGATTTTCCTCAGTTGTCTCACAAACTCCAAAATTGATGCCTCAGCATTTATAAAATTCTTCAAGCCCTAGGGTCGAAACATCTGTACTATACATTTTCATTCACTGTTTGGCTCTTCTGTTTCCAACTCTGAACTTGCATTACAAAGCGCCATTCACTTGTGTGTCTTTATGCCAAATTTTCAAAATTCATCAAGAATCATTATGCATCATTTTATGTTGTTTTATTGACATATACATGACCAGGCGCGTATCCGTTTTACGTACAGTTAGTATTTTAGAGGATTCCCGAACTTATTTCTAAAGGTTGGGATGAATTTGAAACAAAATTGCCTGGTATATAAGGAACGCATATGTCATTTCAGAACATACAGGACTAAGGTCGGGATCAGCTTAATACCGTATAAGCAGTGGGCTTATAGGTAAGTTTGTATTGTTTAATATCATGAGTTTACTTCCAGCAACAACATCTTATTCTATTGACAATATCATAGAATATTCTATAAACATATCCAGCCTGTAGAAAATGTTCCAAATATTCTACTAACATTTTACGTACTTTAAGGTCTTGGTTATTTACACATTCTATACTTGTCCATACTTGGCGGAATTATGACAATGCTGTATTGCATGAAATTAAGTCAATTAGGAAAGGTGCTAAATTTTTACAATGTTCCTGCGAAGTTTGAAAAATATATGACATGTTCGAAAATTGCACAATGCTGTAATGCGCGAAATTTGTACAAGACTAATACGTAAAATTTGAAAAAAAAAAAAAAAAAAAAAAATGGCACCAATTTTGGAGAAAGCAGTGTTGCGTGAAATTTCAAACTGAAATTCCATCAAACAACGGCAAATATATGAACAATAAGGTTATACGGAGGCTCCTGGAAAATAACAAGGAGAAGGTAAGCGGAAGGGTCAGCGTCTTCTGCTTCATCGACGACACCCGCCATGTAAACCTTGGTCAATCCATGCAAGTAATGTTCTTAAATGGGAACAAGGTACACAATAACGGAACCAACAGACACACTAGCGAGCATCAAATACGCCCAGTCTCATGTCTTACAACGAAATAGGATATTTGTCAATGAGATCAAAATGGCGACCGTAACACTTCTCAATGATTGTCATCAACCTTCATCTTTTGAACCCTTGTGTTTCGAGTTTGTCAGTTAGTTGACGAATTCTTGCACGAAAATCATGAAAATGGTAATAGGCCTTCGACTATCAAATCTACTGTGACATGTAAATACAATAGGTTGGATATGGAGGGTTATTGCTATCAAATCTACTGTCATGTACAATAAATAGGATATTTGTTATTGCTATCAAATCTACTGTGACATGTAAATACACTTTGGATATGGATTATTGCTATCAAATCTACATCTTTAAATACAATTGTGTTTGGATATGGAGGGTTATTGCTATCAAATTCTGTGACATGAAAATACAATAAAATGGTAATAGGGTTATTGCTATCAAATCTACTGTGACATGTAAATACAATAGGTTGGATATGGAGGGTTATTGCTATCAAATCTACTGTGACATGTAAATACAATAGGTTGGATATGGGGGGTTATTGCTATCAAATCTACTGTGACATGTAAATACAATAGGTTGGATATGGAGGGTTATTGCTATCAAAAGATGAAAAAATTCCCAATAGGGAAATTGAAATCATCACGTTTGTCAAACAGCTTGATGGAAAGCAGTCAATGTTGGTTTCGTTGTCGGAAATTATCGAGCAGCTAATGTGGAGAGTCTTTTGTATCTCTGATTTCCAATTCTGGTGGATATGTACGATAGAAGTAATCAGTAAATTTCTTGTTATTTAAAGACAAGACGTCACCAATATGTTTGAAGGTGAAATTAAATGACTTTGCGAGGTCTTTGTGACTTGTAAAGTACTAGAGTAACCAATATACTTACTTTTACATCACTTTCATACACTTAAAGAGCCTGACCCACTCCGTTATAGATATTTTTTCATATTATATTGACTGGAAATTCTGTTGTATACTAATAGATAATATATAAATAAAGACTTTCGAACTTGAAATTGAAAGGGTACCGGAGATATCGGTGCCGGATTTAGTCTCATTAATCAACACCAGGATATGAATATTGATGAGGAAAAGTCACGCGATACGTTCAGATGCGGTCAGACCCAAAACAAAAATGGAGGAAGAGGTGAGTAGTACGTCCATGTGACATCGCTTGTAAAGAGATTTCACCGATAAATGCAATCAATATTCTATATATCCTGTATGGAAATCATCTAACGTATGTATTAATCACATCTTTCAATGCTTAGATATGACACAAAAACGTGCAGATTACGAGAAAAACTACGATTAATTGCAAAGAGGGGCTACGATACGGAAACTATCATATAGAACATCGCGAAATGGATCTATCTAAAGCGAATATTCGATGATAAGAATATTTATGAATATAATAATAGAATGATACTACACGAGCGAGCCAAACAGAGAGCGATACAGAGTATGAGCCAGCCGGTCAAAAGCGCGGAGCGAGAGAAAGAATCTCAAGGGGCCCCCGATATTTTGATCTTCGTTAGTTGCATGAAGAACACCGTATTTGTCTTAGTTTCTTTAGCTGTCAGGTCATCATATATCCCGAAAACCAACAAATCACATACACGAAGTAACCAAACATAAATATTAAGCTTTAATTGTCCCGTATTTTTATATTTGTGGTTTGAGTTCTTACCTGTCGAGCAAAATACCCGCTACTTCGTGATTTGTTTTCAAATTAAGTTCGGTCTTCACAGCATTCCATCTTTCCGTATGCTAGCCATTATAAATATTTGCTTTTTAAATATCACGGTCTAGCGCCATCTTCCTTCTTTTCGCCTCAGAGTCCGTCAAAACACGTTTTCTCCCCCGCTTTCCTCGCACGCTTTATGTTGGAAGATGGCAGATTTATTAACAGTTCTTTGCGCATGCGTCAGAGGGCAAGCTTCCCGCATAATTACGAATTAGCACTGAGTCGTTTCGAATTTTTAAAAAACTATTTATTACGTTAGATTAGTAGCGATTTTCTTTAAAATTGCGGTATTACAGGGTTAGTCAGAAGTTTTGCTACCCGTAAAAAATAGAAAATCATGATTTTTGTTTTGATATAAAATAACTTCGGTCGAGGAGTTGATCGGGCTCTTTAATGATATATACAGTCATTTATTGCCGTGCTTGGCACCTGCGGCTTAAGAATTTCGATAACCTTACATATAGATCAGGTTATTCACAGAAAGCGGATGACGAGGCTCAATAGCGGGCCTGATACAACTTTGCTAGTAAACAAGCTAAGGACATAGATACCGATTGACTATCATCTTGTACAGGAAACGAATGTTCATACAGTGATGCAGAAACATGTGTTAAGGAATAAAATATGTAAGAAACTCTTATTTAACCGGAAGCAGGGTATACTTCAATATAGAATAAATTCCGGAGTAGTATCAAATGCATTTGTGTTTTGAATTACCAATAGCTGTAAATAAATACTTGTGATATGTTAAGTAACAAGAAATATGAAGCTGCACTTAAATGATATCATACTTGTCTAACGTGCCTATTTTTAAAAGAAAGAATAAATTCGGTTTAATACAATACACAATAATAAACAAAAATAACTTCCGAAAAAAAGTTGCTTTTTGAGACTGTAACCATAGTTATATCAGATTCAATACATATATTGATCGAATACACTACTTAGGGAGACTCCTAGTTACAACAAAGAAGTGCTTGCGTGTTGAATCTAAACATTTTTGACAGATCAGGAATTTCAATTGAATGAGATACTTATATGTTACTGCTCATTTTATTTTGTCAAACTCAAAGTTTTTGAGGCTTGCATTAACGGCGTCCTCAATGAAAGGAACACGTGTTTAATTTGCAATATCATTACATTTGACAAAGGACAACATACTACCAGTTTTTGAAAAAGTACAATGACATTAAAATAAACATCGTTTTTCTTTTGCAGATGAAAGAAACGTAGCGATGTATTGGACAGCGTTGTTCACTTTAGCTGTTTCGCTTGTAAACGGCGACAAGGAACAATACTCGAGATATTCTCCAGTGCCGCATCCTTTTCCTAGTACAAAAGACGATGACGCAACATCCGGATGCAAGTTGAAGGTTGAATGTAAAAACAGAAAAGGGGAACCAGGGATACCTGGTCCGAGAGGTATTCCTGGCTTTGACGGCCCTTTTGGTAGGCCTGGAGAACAGGGAGAGAAAGGAGAACAAGGAACGCCAGGTATGTCGTGTCATTATATTGTAGCATTATAATGATTGTGGTTATCATTAAGTAAACACTAACAATTGATTTTCCCGCACATTTCTCAAAAAAAATTTCAGATTAATTTTAAGTCGTCTTGCCTTATGAAGAAATGCTAAATTGGTCACTTGTTAAAATCTGTGGAAGCTCCAAAAATAAATCATGGACATTTAAAGCACATGAACACCTTATTGTCTTTTAATAGCAACGTTACATGATTTGTGACATATCCAGACAATATTTATTGATAGGTTCAATGCATCCATTGGAAAATCATTTCTTTATGACGTCATATGGACTTTACCGTCAAACAGGAAATGTTTAGTGAAAATATTGATAAATTAAATCAGTATATGTTTTCATGGTTTCAATTCTATAACGGATGAATATAATTTCTATTTTCTTTCTTATTATCTCTTTAGAGAAATGATACTATCAACTATTCCTAAATTTGTATCATTGTAAAACATATCTTCACACTCCAAGTTACAATGTACTTTTTCTAACCAGATAAATCGGTAGTATCATTATTGAGATACGAATTCCATATCATACTATTAATTTATTTAATGTTTGAATGTGAAAAAGGCGTGGTTAACATGGACATGTACTGAATGAGGGAGATAACTTTCCATCACTCTTCAGCACACACAAATGACAAAAATTGATCACAAACAATGTATTCCTTCAAATACCTCCAGCAGTATGTTTCCCTTCATCCAATAAAATAATTACTTGACAAAGAGTGGGTAAAAATCTAAACTCAATAACAGTATAGTAAATCACATGAAGATGCAGGCAAATCTGATTTTACTTGACGGGAAACACAGTGATCATTGTATATTAGGCAAAAATCCAATCTGAATCACATCAGCTTCATAAAGGAATAACACATTTATCCAACTTAATTTTGACATTATTTTCGATCAAATTTCGATTTTCTAGAGTCACAAATGAGTTTGTTTAATCCGTAATCGAAAATGCGGTGATCTTTTAATTCATTATTTGATTCTTTATAGTATAAAACCCACAATTTATACAGAATGCTACAATTTATTTTGTATCGTTCTTGCAGACTTTACTTTGTTTTGACCGTGTTTCCTGTCTTACGTGTTTCGGTTTGTTTCTGGCATGTTTAGTAGACACTTGTATGTTTAGGATGACGGATATATATGTGTGAAAATACAAAAACTCAGTCCCCAGTTACTCTTTTAAATGTACTTGAAATACTTTAAGCTTTTGTAAAATTTATAACAGAATTGTTCGATTGTTGACCTAAAGGGGACTGTTGAGACCGTTTTGTAGGTGAAAGAGGGCATTCCAACACCATTTTGGAAAAACAGAAGAAAAGAAATCACTGATTATTTATTTCCATTCTCTTGACAGAAAATCTGTTTAAATGCTTGATTTCTATCGATGTATAACACTACTGTTTGTCAAAGTCTTCAGCTTTGGGTATGCAAATCTTAATCGAAGACACAAAGGAACTACATATCTGAATCATTTATGTTATCAGGAGACACTGAATGAAGTAACATGTAAAACAGAAACAGCCTATGAAAAACATACACGTTAGTTTCTTTAGTATTTTCATTATTTGAAAATCACAAGAATTAGATAAAGCTTAACCCTAGCAAGCAATAACATTCACATCTTTCCGATATATAATTTTTTTTTTAATCTTAAATGACAATTGAGCATGAATATTTCTAAAGGACAAAATTGAGAATGAATTTGTTTCTCATTTGATAGGACAGCTGAACCTGGAAAGAATATATGTGGTTCTGCAGTTAATAAATCAAGACCTAATGAGTTTTTATGTTTTCATATAACTTTAAAACAAGTTTTCCCGATTAACTCAGAAACGACAAACATTCCTCTCTACAAATTAATAGATAATATAGTATATTCCCTCCGACACACTTATCTAGCTGGGTTATCTGATTTCAGGATGAAGTCCGACTATTTATCATTAAACATCTTGTAAATGTTGAAACCGATTTTTTATGGCAGGGACGTCACGACCTCACTTGGCTTTCTTTGTTGCCATGGACAAAAACATGGGTCCCTTGGATAGTTCGGTGTTGAAGTACCAGCGCGTGCTTCATAACCATGGTTCAGCCTACAGTCCAGATACTGGAATGTTTACAGCACAATCTGCCGGTGTCTATGTCTTCAATATTGTTGTAGCAGCACAAGCAACAGAAACGGTAGCTTTCCCTTTTCCAGTTTATAAATGTTTTTTCACGTTAAATTATCTAGAGACAAAGAAGAGGAAATTATTACGTCATATTATGAATGTCATACACAAGAAAACCGGACAATGTACTACGATTGAACACATATCTAGTATAGTTCATGATTTCATTTCATTTAAAATTTATGTTTTTTTAAAGACTAAGAAGTTTTCTTTACTTGGATTACAAACAATTTCTGAAAACTTTCATAACATCTAGAACATTCTTTTAATCATAAAAATAAAAATTTTCTGAAATGAAATCATCGGCTGTTTCTATGACAATAATATTTTCGGATGGCGCAGTGCTAACGCACTCGCCTTCTACTTAGACGTCTGGGGTTCAATTCCCGGAACGGACGTGAAATTGCATGATATCACCATTCCGAAAAAGGTTATCCCAGAATCTTGTAATTTGCAATTTCCTACCACTGTAAGGTCCCTCGCACGCTTTATTTTTTCAATAATAAATATTCATTGATAAAAGCTTTTAGCTTGATTCTCAATTTTTGTAAAATTAAATTTATACATCTTTGACATTGTTTTTTTTTTTGCATGACATTACCATTCATAAGATTTAAACTTTGAGGAAAAAAGGAAATCCATTATCGCATAGCTTATCATACGCCCATAATACAGTTTATAATGCGAGAGTGTTAGTTTTGGCATCGATCATGCCATTTGAAATTTATCGCTATGCCATGGATTGTAATGATACTCAATGCAATAACTATGTATAACCAAACCATTTCAGTCTTTCTCCTGATATTGAAATATCACGTATGCAAATACTACAGGAACCAAACCTAATGAACTGTAAATATTAGATATTTAGTGATGTAATAAACTGCAGAAAAAACTTTACAACTAATACGATCGTGATATTTCAGGCTGCCGTCCAGTTATTCCAGACCGGTGAGGGCGAAGACCAGTGGGTTGTGACGGTATGGGCCGAGAGTCTTCCTAGTTGGGGCACATCATCAAATACTGTGTATATCTCTCTTGACCAGGGACAACAAGTCTATCTAATCGCAAGACCAAATCTTAACTCGTACTACTACGCTAACATGTATACAACGTTCAGTGGACATCTTGTCGCACCTTCGCAATAATTAAAGCCAACATGTGTTTATTCACAGTATGAAGAATAAAAGATCTACAGTGTTTAGAAACTAATAAAGGCATTATATTTCAATGATTTTCTGTTGTGTATGTTCTCGTCATAAAACAATTATGGCGTGAAATGCTGTCCCTGGCTATCATGCTGTCAAGATTTGGTTTTCATTGTTTTCAACTTTGGCAGATTTTGAAGGATGAAGCACTGTTTAACGTGCACATATCAAATCAGCAGATGGGTTTTAATGTACAGTTTACACATTTATTTCAGTGTATCGTATAAGGACAGTTCGAAAAATTGAAATGATTTTGTAGGGTTAGTGGAAGCATTCGTATCGAAAAAAAAAACATTATACAAATGTTTCCTATCGAAATGAGCAAAATGGTGTAGCATTCCAAATCGTAAACATGTCAGTCACAACAGGGAAATGAGACATCACCAAGTCACCTGTCTCAACAAGAAAATGAGATACTTTAGCGGTCTTAAAAAGTATACAGGGTGACAATCAAAGAGATATGTTTGAGGATAATAAGATATCTTGATGTTATAATAATAAATTCTTGAACTCGGTTTTAATATTGTATAAAGTGACCACCGGAGATCACTTAATGATATAAAGAAACACGCAATCAAACATAATATAGAATATTTTTACTGTAGAATTAAAAAAAAAAGTATAAAGTGTCTTTTACACAATGAGGAAAGGCATCGATGTTTTATATGTTGTTTAAATGGTTATCTCTGGAGTATCGAGGACATGTTCCAGGGGTTCAGAGTTAATTTATTGTTATCCCTGGAGTATCGAGGACAGGTTCCAGGGGTTCAGAGTGTTAATTGATTGTTATCCCTGGAGTATCGAGGATTAAGAAGTTATTACCTATTGTAATGGAGTGCTTTCACCCAAATGTTTTGCGTGCAGGCCGATTATTAAATGTGAAAAACGTGTACTCCCAAAACCTCTGTCCCTGTTTTCAACTATCAACAAGACAAATGAAAAGGAAAGAAAAGAAGAAAACAAACCTCAGAAGATCGCGAAGATCACATGACTGTAGGCGCTTACGCGTTTTTATTGTGGATTATACCAAACCAGCCTATAAACCAATACGTTTCAGATCAATTCAAAGGTTTCTTCATGTCTCAATTGGCAATATCGGGTATCTCAAGATTGTGAAATCAATTCAGCTATGTATTGTTTCTAGATAGTTACACTAGATTGATATTAAAATGCAGTTATAGATTGTCACTAAACCGTTACCGTGGTTCGATCTCTAGAAGGCGGATATAGATTGTTTCCAGACCATAACACCCGGTCGTTCTGTGTAAGGCGGATATAGATTGTCTCCAGACCATAATACTTGGTCGTTCTGTGTAAGGCGGATATAGATTGTCTCTAGATCATAACACCTGGTCGTTCTGTGTAAGGCGGATATAGATTGTCTCCAGACTATAACACTTGGTCGTTCTGTGTAAGGCGGATATAGATTGTCTCCAGACCATAATACTTGGTCGTTCTGTGTAAGGCGGATATAGATTGTTTCCAGACCATAACACCCGGTCGTTCTGTGTAAGGCGGATATAGATTGTCTCCTTACCATAATACTTGGTCGTTCTGTGTAAGGCGGATATAGATTGTCTCTAGATCATAACACCTGGTCGTTCTGTGTAAGGCGGATATAGATTGTCTCCAGATCATAACACCTGGTCGTTCTGTGTAAGGCGGATATAGATTGTCTCTAGATCATAACACTTGGTCGTTCTGTGTAAGGCGGATATAGATTGTCTCCAGACCATAACACTTGGTCGTTCTGTGTAAGGCGGATATAGATTGTCTCTAGATCATAACACTTGGTCGTTCTGTGTAAGGCGGATATAGATTGTCTCCAGACCATAACACTTGGTCGTTCTGTGTAAGGCGGATATAGATTGTCTCGAGATCATAACACCTGGTCGTTCTGTGTAAGGCGGATATAGATTGTCTCTAGATCATAACACTTGGTCGTTCTGTGTAAGGCGGATATAGATTGTCTCTAGATCATAACACCTGGTCGTTCTGTGTAAGGCGGATATAGATTGTCTCCAGACTATAACACCTGGTCGTTCTGTGTAAGGCGGATATAGATTGTCTCCAGATCATAACACCTGGTCGTTCTGTGTAAGGCGGATATAGATTGTCTCCAGACTATAACACTTGGTCGTTCTGTGTAAGGCGGATATAGATTGTCTCCAGACCATAATACTTGGTCGCTCTGTGTAAGGCGGATATAGATTGTCTCCAGATCATAACACCTGGTCGTTCTGTGTAAGGCGGATATAGATTGTCTTGGTCGTTCTGTGTAAGGCGGATATAGATTGTCTCTAGATCATAACACCTGGTCGTTCTGTGTAAGGCGGATATAGATTGTCTCCAGACCATAACACTTGGTCGTTCTGTGTAAGGCGGATATAGATTGTCTCCAGATCATAACACCTGGTCGTTCTGTGTAAGGCGGATATAGATTGTCTCCAGATCATAACACTTGGTCGCTCTGTGTAAGGCGGATATAGCTTGTCTCCAGACCATACTAACACCTGGTCGTTCTGTGTAAGGCGGATATAGATTGTCTCCAGATCATAACACTTGGTCGTTCTGTGTAAGGCGGATATAGATTGACCAGATCATAACACCTGGTCGTTCTGTGTCGTAACACCTGGTCTGTGTAAGGCGGATATAGATTGTCTCCAGACGATAACACCTGGTCGTTCTGTGTAAGGCGGATATAGATTGTCTCCAGACGATAACACCTGGTCGTTCTGTGTAAGGCGGATATAGATTGTCTCCAGATCATAACACCTGGTCGTTCTGTGTAAGGCGGATATAGATTGTCTCCAGATCATAACACCTGGTCGTTCTGTGTAAGGCGGATATAGATTGTCTCCAGACGATAACACCTGGTCGTTCTGTGTAAGGCGGATATAGATTGTCTCCAGACCATAATACTTGGTCGTTCTGTGTAAGGCGGATATAGATTGTCTCCAGACGATAACACTTGGTCGTTCTGTGTAAGGCGGATATAGATTGTCTCCAGACGATAACACCTGGTCGTTCTGTGTAAGGCGGATATAGATTGTCTCCAGACGATAACACTTGGTCGTTCTGTGTAAGGCGGATATAGATTGTCTCCAGATCATAACACTTGGTCGTTCTGTGTAAGGCGGATATAGATTGTCTCCAGACCATAACACTTGGTCGTTCTGTGTAAGGCGGATATAGATTGTCTCCAGATCATAACACTTGGTCGTTCTGTGTAAGGCGGATATAGATTGTCTCCAGACCATAACACTTGGTCGTTCTGTGTAAGGCGGATATAGATTGTCTCCAGATCATAACACTTGGTCGTTCTGTGTAAGGCGGATATAGATTGTCTCCAGATCATAACACTTGGTCGTTCTGTGTAAGGCGGATATAGATTGTCTCCAGATCATAACACCTGGTCGTTCTGTGTAAGGCGGATATAGATTGTCTCTAGATCATAACACCTGGTCGTTCTGTGTAAGGCGGATATAGATTGTCTCGGATATAGATCATAACACCTGGTCGTTCTGTGTAAGGCGGATATAGATTGTCTCCAGACCATAACACTTGGTCGTTCTGTGTAAGGCGGATATAGATTGTCTCCAGATCATAACACCTGGTCGTTCTGTGTAAGGCGGATATAGATTGTCTCCAGACCATAACACTTGGTCGTTCTGTGTAAGGCGGATATAGATTGTCTCCAGACCATAATACTTGGTCGTTCTGTGTAAGGCGGATATAGATTGTCTCCAGACCATAACACTTGGTCGTTCTGTGTAAGGCGGATATAGATTGTCTCCAGACGATAACACCTGGTCGTTCTGTGTAAGGCGGATATAGATTGTCTCTAGATCATAACACTTGGTCGTTCTGTGTAAGGCGGATATAGATTGTCTCTAGATCATAACACCTGGTCGTTCTGTGTAAGGCGGATATAGATTGTCTCTAGATCATAACACCTAGTCGTTCCGTGTAAGGCGGATATAGATTGTCTCTAGATCATAACACTTGGTCGTTCTGTGTAAGGCGGATATAGATTGTCTCCAGACCATAATACTTGGTCGTTCTGTGTAAGGCGGATATAGATTGTAGATTGTCTCCAGACCATAACACTTGGTCGCTCTGTGGAAGGCGGATATAGATTGTCTCTAGACCATAATACTTGGTCGTTCTGTGTAAGGCGGATATAGATTGTCTCCAGACCATAACACTTGGTCGTTCTGTGTAAGGCGGATATAGATTGTCTCCAGACCATAACACTTGGTCGTTCTGTGTAAGGCGGATATAGATTGTCTCTAGATCATAACACTTGGTCGTTCTGTGTAAGGCGGATATAGATTGTCTCTAGACCATAATACTTGGTCGTTCCGTGTAAGGCGGATATAGATTGTCTCTAGACCATAATACTTGGTCGTTCCGTGTAAGGCGGATATAGATTGTCTCTAGATCATAACACCTGGTCGTTCTGTGTAAGGCGGATATAGATTGTCTCTAGATCATAACACTTGGTCGTTCTGTGTAAGGCGGATATAGATTGTCTCCAGACCATAACACCTGGTCGTTCTGTGTAAGGCGGATATAGATTGTCTCTAGATCATAACACTTGGTCGCTCTGTGGAAGGCGGATATAGATTGTCTCTAGATCATAACACCTTGTCGTTCTGTGTAAGACGGATATAGATTGTAGATTGTCTCCAGACCATAACACCTGGTCGTTCTGTGTAAGACGGATATAGATAGTCTCCAGATCATATCACCTGGTCGTTCTGTGGAAGGCGGATATAGATTGTCTCCAGACCATAATACTTGGTCGTTCTGTGTAAGGCGGATATAGATTGTCTCCAGACCATAACACTTGGTCGCTCTGTGTAAGGCGGATATAGATTGTCTCCAGACCATAACACTTGGTCGCTCTGTGTAAGGCGGATATAGATTGTCTCTAGATCATGGCATTTTGACGCTCTTTTCAGGATTGCTATGAAATGTCCTCAGACCTTGACATGCTATTGTAGGTAAATCTGACACA